ACACAGTATTGGGACGGATTAAGAACTGTACTGGACCCATGGAGTCGAGTGGGAGGTCGAGTGAATAGCTGGAGTCTTCTTTTCTTCCTTGTGCTTGAGTGTCTGGTTGAGTGCAGAATGAAGAAGACTCTGAAGCTTGCCATCGAGTATGTAGTCGAGTGGTGGTGATGGTGATACTCGACTTCCTGGTAGAGTGATGTGGTCGAGTGATGATCAGGTAATGGAGGTGAAGACACTCGACCACGGGATCGAGTGATGTGATCGAGTGATGGTCAAGTGATGGGGATGAAGACACTCGACCTAGGGGTCGAGTAATGTGATGAAATCGAGAAGTCCTCTACTCGACCAGGTGGTCGAGTGGTCTCTTGAGATCTTGAAGCTCCTACTCAACCACGGGGTCGAGTGGTTTGACATGATCAGGTCCCCTTCTTCCAGTTAGCTCGTCAACAGCTCCAAGTCACCTGAAATAAACACAAATATGCAACATGCATGCAAACCTATCCTAAATATGTAAAGTGATGACAAATGATGAGAAATGGTATAAAACAGTGATGATATGATGCTAAAGTGTTGACAAATAGATGATCAAAACATGCAAAATACACACTTATCAACTCCCCCAAATTTAGTCTTTGCTTGCCCTCAAGCAAACAATTAAGAACAAGCTGGAGGTGAGGTTTGAAAGCGGGGACTCAGAGCCAAAGCACCAGATAAACCAGATGAAATCAATTTCCAAGTTGAAAGTTTGAAGCCGCAATATGATCGAATTCTACTTAAAAACGTTAGCCATGCCTCATTATCAATCAATCCGACTCATATGCTCGACCTACACATGTTTTCAAATCTACCAATCCCTTTAACATTCATTAGTTATGGAACGTGAATCAAGCAATGCATCATCAATGAACTCATTTGGCTAAGGTAAAAGGTCAAGAGACAAAGATGGTCCCTTACAGAATAGGTTTCCGTAACAAGGGATCTCTCAAAAAATGATTACACTTTAGTAGAATGCTAAACGTAAGTTCCAAGCTATGCATATAGAGATAAGATCCCATCTACCCAGAGTATGTCAAATGAAGCTCTAATGGTAATCCCATCTCCAATCCCAATATAAGAACTTAACTCTACCCTTTGCATTCATGAATCTTTTAAGCCCTTTTTCTAATCATTCTTTTCTTTTCTCTTAACTTTAGGAGAAGCTTTCTCAACACTTTGATACATCTAGCGGATTTGGATTTCTTTAACAACTAATGTTCCTGTTTTTAACATTTTAAAACCAAGGGATTTTGCCCATCTCCAATAGCTAACAAGAACTCTTCCTTTTCTTTACAAATCCCAAAACGTTTACTAGACTTTTTCAGCTTCTTTAGCTTACTTCACCTAGAGTCTTTTACCTTTTCTCATCAATGAATCAACCTTTTTTTTTTTCTTTTAAACATATCCCAACCTAAAGTATAAGCGCCCACCTAGTCCTATCTAGCCCGAAAAATGCGAACTAGAACTACATGAGACACTATCTCTGTCGTTACGAACCTAACACTTTCTACCAAGCTTAATCGAAAAAAGACCTCACAAACACTCGCAAGTGATATAGGGCTTGAAAGAAAGTCTAGGTTTGAGTTTGGGTTAACTGCTCTAACAAGGAGAGTCAGCTACTTGGATTAACAAGAGCGATCAAAATAAATAAGAAAATCCAAGTATTTTAGGGTATCCATGAGTTCAAATTTGATGCAGACATGATAATTAAAGATCAGATTCATGTTCAAATTGATAGAGAATGGTATCAAATTGATTATAGGTTTTTTAAGTCAATTATCCTAAAACACCAATCATATCGTTGTAGTATTTTAGGTTGTCAATCCAAATGGGTGTGATGCTAACAATCAAGATGTGATCAGAAGTCACTAAGTCAAGCCAAGCAATAACAGGTTTTGGTGTGTTCTAGTAGTCCTAAGTGAACATGCATAAAACAGAAAATCAAACAGAAACAACAAAACACTCAACACAGCTCTATGTAGAGCACAAGATGAGGTCGAGTGACAGGTCGAGTAACAGGCAGAAAGTGAAACAAGGATACTCGACTGCACAGTCTGTTGCCAGACAACTGGGTGGTCGAGTATGAGGTCGAGTAACAAGAAAGAATTGCAGAAATTAAGCAACAGATAACAAGATGCAGTAAACAACAGTAGGGTAAACAAAGAATTTAATCAGATAAAGAATTCCCGAGGATGGGGTAATCGAGTAGTTTCGTTTTCTCAGTTTATAGGTGATTGACATGCTCAATAAATTAACACTAGACAACAAGTTCATTAACCAAATCTAAGTGCCACCGCAATAGAGACTCTCAAGTTAACCTAGTCCCAGACTCAATCACCATTGACGAGAGCTAACCTAACAGGCATTACGAATCAACAAGTTAAAGCCAAAATGCTCCCTGCAACCAATACCTTGGTACAGGGTCACGAATCTCTGGAATTAGTGGTTCAGACATTTCATCGAACACCTTTTGGGCGCAAAAATGTCTGGGCTCAAATTCTAGTTGATCAGAAAGCAATATGCATTAAGAACAACTAATCTAGAAGGGATCTATCAACCAATACTCAATCACCTAGCATACTGAGAATTCTACACTACTCTATCCCATCCTCAGAAATCTATTCACTACTCAGACATCATAACAGAAAGCATAAACGTTGAACAAATTAAAACATGATAATAACAATGTAACAGCAGGATGATAACAGAATGAACAACAGTAAACGAACTCAAGAACAGAAACTGAATACTGAATACTGAATAGATAAAGAGAAATCCGTATTACAAAAAGTCTAGAACAGAAGGTCTGCGGAAATAAAACTAGATAAAAACTTCTTGTCTGAGAAAATGAGAAGTACATGCTACTTATAGCCAAATATCCCGAAACCCTAATACTCAAAACGACGAAGTATTGGGACGGGTTAAGAACTGTACTCGACCCATGTGGTCGAGTGAGAGGTCGAGTGAATAGCTGGAGTCTTCTTTTCTTCCTTGTGCTCGAGTGTCTGGTTGAGTGCGGAATGAAGAAGGCTCTGAAGCTTGTCATCGAGTATGCAGTCGAGTGGTAGTGATGGTGATACTCGACATCCAGATAGAGTGATGAGGTCGAGTAGATGTCTGGCAATGGGATGAAGTCACTCGGCCTGGGGGTCGAGTGATGTGATCGAGTGGTGTCAGAAGATACTCGACTTCCAGGTTGAGTGACGAGGTCGAGTGGTAGTCTGATGATGGAGGTGAAGACACTCGACCTCATGGTCGAGTGATGTGATCGAGTGATGGTCTGGTGATGGAGATGAGGGCACTCGACCTCGTGGTCGAGTGGTGAAGTGAAGTGGTGATGTCCTTTGCTCGACCTGGGGGTCGAGTGGTCTCTTGAGATCTTGAAGCTCCTACTCGGCCTCTTGGTCGAGTGGTTTGTCATGATCAGGTCCGCTTCTTCCAGATAGCTCGTCAACAGCTCCAAATCACCTGAAATCAACGCAAATATGCAACATGCATGCAAAACTATCCTAAACATGCAAAGTGATGACAAATGATGTGAAATGGTATAAAACAGTGATGATATGATGCTAAAACGAAGGGCTTTTGCCCATCTTCAATAGCTAACAAGAACTCTTTCTTTTCTTTACAAATCCCAAAACCTTTACTAGACTTTTTCTGCTTCTTTAGCTTACTTCACCTAGAGTCTTTTACCTTTTCTTATCAATGAATCAACCCTTTTTTTTTTTTTTTTCCTTTAAAGACATCCCAACCCAAAGTATAAGCGCCCACCTAGTCCTATCTAGTCCGAAAAATGCGAACTAGAACTACATGACACACTATCTCTGTCGTTACGAACCTAACACTTTCTACCAAGCTTAATCGGAATAAGACCTCACAAACACTCACAAGTGATATAGGGCTTGAAAGAAAGTCTAGGTTTGGGTTTGGGTTAACTGCTCTAATAAGGAGAGTCAGCTACTTGGATTAACAAGAGTGATGAAAATGAATAAGAAAATCCAAGTATTTTAGGGTATCCATGAGTTCAAATTTGATGCAGACATGATAATTAAAGATCAGATTCAGGTTCAAATTGATAGAGAATGGTATCAGATCATGACAGTGTGGTCGAGTAGAGCAATCTAGGCATGGTTCAGTTTTATTTCAAATTCATTGACTATGCAATAGACAACTAGCAACGAGGGAACTGAATTTATCCGGTGAATTAAAATGCTTACAAGGCTATCTCATCATCATCCCCTATGCATATGCAACAATCCTAAATGAAACACTCTAGACTCGATCCTAAATGTGATGCAACTACATGAACACTCTTTTTTTGTGAAATCATTTTCTGAAATTTTTCAAATTTTTTTGGTTTTTCTATGCCTTACATGAATGCAGACTGAAAAATATACACAATGCAACACACACTTCCTGAGCCCTCCCCCAAACTTAAATCACACAGTCCACTGTGCGAATAAACTTGGAAGAGAGTACTCAGGACAAATCTAATCACAGAAACAAAAAAAAATGAAGAAACAAATCACAACAGATGGTATAATACAATGGTGAAGTGAGGCGCTTACCTCAGTCGAAGAATGAACGTAGTTGCTCGTCAATGGCTGCCTGCGATTGCTCCCAGGCCATAGACGAACCACCTTGTTCTGTATCAGTTCCAGCAGGTGGTACTCAACCTCATCAGCTCTGTGGCGGCCAGCACCGCTCTGAGGAAACTCGACCTCTCTCCTTCTACTACGGCCAGCACCGCGGTTGCATAAACTACGAGACTTCAGAAGTCGTCCGCTCCTACTGCTAGATCGAGTGAGTGTGGTCCTCCTCTTCCTCCCAGATTCACGAGGCTCGAATGATTAATGCCTCGCAGGGACATGCGGAATCTCCTGCTCTCTAGGCTCAGGCCTGCGCCGACTTGGCTCGGGCGCGTCATATCTCCTCAAAGGCATGTCCTGAGGGAGATGTCCCTGCGGAATAGCTGTAGTGGAAGAGGAGCAGCTGAGCTTGTTTTTCATAAACTTGATAGCCCTGAGGCACTTGGCGAGCAACTTGTCCTATTTCATGCACCACTTCTGCAGCTTGCTGTTGTTCCTGTGAGCTTCGCTTAAACTCCTCGAAATAAAGTTCTTCAAGCGCAGGCTTGAAGTCAATGTTCCTGCCCTCGAGAATCCTAGTAGCGTCAATGCAGGGGAGAAGAATGTTGGCGATTTTAATCGATGAATGCTCGAACCTGTAGCGGTGAAAGTCGCCAGCCATGTCAAACTCCAAGAACTCACATCTGCGCAAATGATCCAAGTCCATCATCCTCGGTGCTAACCCTGGTTCCTTGAGCGGTACTCCACAAGCTTCCAGAATTGGCGTCACAACGCCACCCACGCATAGTGCTCCTCTCACCTTCTTCTTCCTGTTCGTCAACGCCCACTTTCTGTCTCCACACAGATAGATCAACAGAGGCATTACTGGTGGTGCGTTGTTGAGATCGCCTCTCAAGACATTCTTCCCCTTCGTCCGGCGCAGAATCCCTGTAAACGCATAATCTATCATCTCCATGTCCGTGTTAGACACGGTGCCTGTAGACTCCCTGGAGTAAAAGACGTTGGCGACCGATCTCTGAAAGTAGCGGATCACAGGACTCCAGATTTGGTTGCTCTTGGACCGCGCCAAGTTTAGCGGTAGATTGTTCCCTATAGTGGCCCACAAATCCTTAAGCTCCTCTCTGTCAAATCTGGGTTTGGTTCCCTTTCCACTAGGGAAACGAAACAGTTCTTCTAACTTCTTGATCGAAAGCTGATACCGTTGTTCATTCACTGAGAACGTCAAGAAGCCTAACCCCATGGTATCCAGCTCAAAGTCTGTGAGTGTCTCATACATCTCCACTTGCAGCATGGAAAGAAACTCGATTGTCTCCTCCTTAAAGGCAGGGTAAGGGTAAGACATGAGTGTCTCCAGATGACACTTCTCGAACAGATGCTGCACGTCCTCCAGTAACTCCAGCTGGGCTAAAGTCTCATAACACGGATACCTCGTTCCCCAGAAGTCATTCATCTCGAAGAATTTGATATACTCCTCCACTGTAACCTCGTCGGGTTTGTTCAGCAGCTTCGTCTCCCTGCGCCATGACTCTGGCTCATACTCGGTCTCGATATCCTCATCAATCAGCTCATATCTACTTGACATCGCCCTCTTTCCTCTGGCGATTTCAGCCCTTCTCTGATTACGTCGGGCTGTAGAGCGTTCAAATTCATCCCTGAAGCTCTGGTAAACATGTTGCTCTCTCGGTCTAGCGGACCAGGACTCAGCTTCATCCACATTGTAGTCAGGGTCCATAGAGGATTCTCCACTGTAGTTACTCATTACGAAACCTGAAAACAAATTTAACTCAAAAATAAACGTTAATACGTTAGTTCCAACAAAACCAGGAACACAAACCACAAACCAAAAACAGGTTGAGTAAACTGGTGGAGTAACCCGGTTTTGAAATTTTTCTTTTTTCGTTTTGTAGGTAATTGGTCGAGTGGTTAAGGAGGACCGAGTGAAGTGATGGAGATAGAGTTGTGAAAACGACAAGGTTATGCAGGAGCTGCGGTCGAGTGAGTCGGACGGCAAGGTCGAGTAGTGAATGATGAGAGTAGAGTCGTGGATTGGTGATGAGATGATGTGAGAAGAAGTCGAGTGACTGTGAGCGAGAAGTGTTGTTAGAGGAGCGGTGATTCGAGTGATTGAATCGGAGGGGGAGAAGCGGAGGTGCTGGTCGCGTGAAGAGTGGAGTTTGATTGAGTGGATTCGGTGAAGTCTAGTGGAGTTGTGAGGAAGGGAAGGTTGTGTAGTGGTCGAGTAAATGAAGAACAAAAGCTGACTGGAGAGATGAGAGAAGCGGCGGTCGAGTGTTTTCCTTGGAGAGGAGAAACGGCTGCTTGGTCAATTGGTGAAGAGGTCGAGTGGCAGCGTGAGACGGTGGTGAAGAGGCGAGAGAGAAGCAGTCGAGTGGTGCTTTGGACGGAAGATGATGGCGCTAAAGTCGAGTGATTGAGGGGAAGTCGAGTGGAGACGGAGTGTGAGCGAGTTCGTGTTTGGTCGAGTGTTTGAGAGATGGTGGAGTGTTTGAGGAAGAGAAGTGGCGAGGTCGAGTATTTGTGGAGAGAGGGGCGATGGGATCGAGTGAAGTGATAAGGTGAGGTCGAGTGGTGTGGATAAGGAGCGTTGAGGTCGAGTGGTGAAGAGAAGAAGAGGATAGATTCTTGTCTTCTGGTCAGTTGCATGGAGGACATGGGCGTCAGCGGCGGGTCCCACAATGTCTTCTTGTCTCTTCTCTGTATTCTCTGTTCACTAGGAAAGCTCCAGGAAATCCCGCAATCTTCTATAAACTTGATGAACTCTCTATAAGACTCTGTAGCTCCTGTTGGTCGAGTAAAATGATGATTTAAAATTTTTTTAGGTTTTTAAACATCACTCATACTCGACCACTATACTCGATCTCTAGGCCATCACTAGAGTAAAAGTTTTGAATTTTTACTCTACCTTCACGTTACTCCTTTCTTCCTGAGAACCACAAACACAACCAAAACAAATCAAAAATAACAAGAAAGTAAAAATTATTTACAAGGATAGTCATGGGACTTCCTCCCAAGTGAGCTTATTTTAAGTCTCTAGCTTGACTCCTCACACTCATCAAGAAGAAAATGAATGATAGAGAGGGTCTGCATAGTCCTCTCTAGCATCATCATCATACCCAGCGTCCTCCCTGGAGAGGTCTGCAGCAGAATACTCAATTCCCCTTTCTTCAAAATAGGCTTCCTTCTCTTCTGGAGGGTAATCTGTCTCTTGAGACCATCTTGAAGTGAATATTTTTCTCGGGATAGTGTTAATCCCGCCTTTAGGTTGAGCTTCCTTCTGCATCTGATTCAGCTTACTCCTAAGTTCCTCAATAGTGTGGGCTAGCTTCTCTATAGTTTCATCTTTCTTATCAGACCTCTTTTTAAGTTCTTTTACTCTTTCAGTCTCATATCCTTCTCCTGAGATCGCTCTATCATTTCCAGAGGTTCTTCCATCTTCTGTTGACCCTTGTGGAGTTCTGTTGATGTTAAAGTGCAACTTGATGTGCTTTCCAAGGTTGAGACCTATTTTCCCTTCTCTGACATCTATCACTGCTCCCACTGAAGCTAAGAATGGTCTTCCCAGTATTAAGGGATCCTTATGCTCTACTTCCATATCCAGCACCACGAAGTCTCTAGGCACTTCTACTCCATTAATCATGACTGGTAGGTCTTTCAGCATGCCGAAGGGTTTTCTAGAAGACCTATCCGCAAGGATCAAAGTCAGGTCACAAGGTTTATACTGAATGAACTCCAACCTTCTTGCCACAGAGAGTGGCATCAAGCTAATAGAGGCTCCGAGATCAAACAGACAATCGCTGAAAGCAAATTCCCCAATGGAACATGGTAGAGTGAAAGATCCAGGATCTTCTAACTTCTCTTGAACAATCCTTTTACCAGCAGCTCGAGATGGAGTGGCGTCACTTTCATCATCTGAATCGTGATACATCTTGATCCTTTCCAGTATTAAATTTCTCACATCTTTGTGAGGATCAGGAATCAGGTTAAGAACTTCCATTAGTGGCATCACTGCTTCAATCTCGTCCAACTGCTTTGCTGCAACAGACTTGTATCTCTTCATCCATGCTTTCCTGAATGTCCACGGAAGAGCACGTGAGGGTAGTGGAGTAGGTTTGAATCGTTTTACCATTCTCTCGATTATGGCGGCCTTCTCTTTCGAGGTGGATTGAGTGAGATGGCGAGAACCAGCAGAATGGTTGAATTCAATAACAGAGACTTCAACCTGAGTAGAAGCCTCTCCTTCTTGAACATCACTGTCCTAGTGATGAAATCAGGGACAGGTCGAGTTGGCAGCTCTCGATCATGGCAGATGGTGATGGCGTGAGCGGTTGCATACTCTTTTGGATTCTGTATGAACTTCCCTGAAAGTCATGTAACTTTTGGTGCAGAGGTAGATGCTGATTGGCCTTCCAAATATCTGACTTTGGTGTTTAATGCTTCCATTTTGGCATTCAGGTCATTGTAGCTGCAGTCCAGCTTATGGTGCAATTCAGATAATTTCTTAGCAATTTCCATTGAGCTAGATGCTTGTCCCTGTAGCAGCTGTTGAACCATCTGATTCATTTCAGCATCAGGAGCAGCAGGACCTTGGTTTTGCTGAGGTGCAAACCCAGGTGGTGGTGGTTGTTGGTAGTTCCCCTGGAATTGCTGCTTAGGAACGAAACCTTGGTTGTAGGGAACAAAAGGTTTGTTCTGACCTTGTTGTTGATGTGTAGGATACACCTGATCCTGAGGATTAGCAACGTTGGTGCTGCGGTAGGAGAGGTTGGGATTGTTGGTTTTGAAGTTGTTGTATCCTTTGTAGCCACCCTGGTTGTTGTTGATGTAGGTGACTTCTTCCAACTGGTTACCCTCCCCATCTTGGACTTGATACTGCTCGTCATCAACAAGGAAGTGCACATGCTTCTGCTGGCTAAGAAGAATTTTGTCCAGGTTGTCATTCAGCGCTTTGATATCCTTCCTGTGTTTGTCATCAGAGTCAGCTGTTCCTCTGACGGTCCTATCACAGTCCTCGTTGTAATTGCCATCTGATTGAGCAAGGTTCTCAACCAATTCCCAGCCTTCTTCAACATCCTTGTTCTGGAAATTCCCATTGCTGGCGGTATCCAGAAGCATTCTGATGCGTGGTAGGACTCCTCTGTAAAGAGTGCTGAGCAGAGAGGCTTTAGTAAAGCCATGATGAGGGCATTGGTTGGTGTAACCCTTGAAACGCTCCCATGCTTCACAGAAGCTTTCACCATTCTTCTGTGAGAAACCAGAAATCTCATTTCTGAGTCTTGCAGTTCTGGCATTGGAGAAGAACTTTGATAGAAAAGCCTTCTTGCAATCATCCCAGGTGGTGTGCTTTGCCACCCAAGGAGAATGGAAACAAACGGAGCTTGAATCCGTCTTCACTGATACTATTGATCTTCGTTAGGTTGCAGAGCCTATCGAATTCATCAAGGTGGTCGAGTGGATCCTCCATTGGCAGACCATGGAATTTGTTCCCCTGAATCATCGAGATGAGACCACTCTTAATCTCGAAGTTGTTGTTCTAGATAGCAGGAGGTGCAATTCCCT